GTTACAGGGAACCTTCATTGATTTCCAACCTGAAGAAGTCCACATCTACTCGTCCTTACTGTGGGGAGTCCTATCAACCCTTTCCTCCCAATCCTCAAGCCCTCACTCCCTTCTCCGCCCCCGTTCAGCAGGAAGCAGTCAGAGAGAAAGCAACGTCCACAACCCCATAGAGGAGAAAGGGGGGAATGAAGGGTCCCCACCAGTAATATGGCGAACTTCCGGTTTCTCTTCAGGGTCCTTGGTTCCTGCCAGTGCCACCTGAAGCCCAATCACCTCTCGCCCCCCTCCCAATCCCAGCACCTAGCCAATAGCCACCAGCCCCATAGACGTGACACCTCAATCAGCTCATGCTCCTTCATATATAACCCAGCACCTTTCCCTAATAAAGTGGATTTCTCCGATGAATTGCTGCTGTGTGTCCCTCCTTTCCTTTCAAGAGTAGGGTGAGTGCCTCCGGGAAAAGTAAGGCAGAATATTTAGTCAGAGCAAGGAAACCGCCCTACCAAAACTCTGTTAAACATTAAGCTCTAGAGTCATTCTTAAGTGAACTCAGATAATATTCCCCAGATAAAGAGGAGAAGCACATGTTTTTATTATGCTAATCACTTGTAATCATGTGTAAGATTCACTTTAGCATGCTAAAAGGCCCAGGCCTATGTGCTGTCTTTCCTCCTTCAGACCTTATGAGGTGACTTGCAAACTGGGCAACTAATTTAGCATGCAGACCCAGCCGTAAACAACATAGTAAAAGGCAGGAAGGATTCCACCTTAAAGATAAGATTGCATTTTAATACCCAGTAAGTTAAAAAGTAAGATTCTTAACTTACTCTTTAGCAAACAGACAATAACTCAGCCCACCTTGTGTGATATGCTCCCTGACCAAGACGCCAGTATCCCAGGGAGAAATCAAAGCAGGAAATTCCTTATGTTAAGTAATTCTAAATATCAGAGACCACTTAACAAGTCCACACTCCTAAGCATTTTTTCACATTCCCAAAAATCCTCAACTGCCTATGAAACCCTTAGATAACACACCACTGTGGGCTCTCTTGTCCCCTCCTGGTGGGAGCCAGGAGCTCTGCCTCTCACTGTCTCTCTCAAAAAAAGCCTCTCTCTGGCTCTCCTACCTTGGGTGTTTGCTAAGTTCTTTCTTCAACTCTGCAAACAAGAACCCTGGCATCAACTTGAACTGGAAGCATTTAAGGGACATTATTCAAGAACCTCAGGGTTTTAGTTGCCTATTTAAGTATGGTCACCAATTCAATTTGAAGGACTCACTGAATCATCACTAGGTACAGATGCACAGGCCCAGCTCCTGTTGCATCCCTCCAGCCCCCAGTGAAGCTGGCCTTCCACCTTCCCCACTGCAGAATGACTCCTGAAGGATACCAAAAAATGCCACTGCCAAATAGGCCTATTTCACATATGGATTTTGAGCTAATGGCCATTAAGAACCAGCAGATACAGGAAAAGCTCTAGAAGTTGCATAATTTTCCTTTTATAAAGGAAATTTACATTTGCAAAGGTACCTCTCTTTCCTGTATCAGGAAGAGGACTTTAACAACTTTAACCAGGGAAGCATTGAATTAAATGTGCATAACAAATTGGTAATGTAAACAAGCTTTGTTTACCACTTTCCTTGTTCAACTTCCCATAACTTGCCTCCACCACCCAGAAGCTTAAATCCTTTTTCCTGTTCAGTCTAAAATGGTACAGAAGCCCCAGTTCTAACCACCCCCCTAGGGTTACCCATCACTGGGTGCTCCTGCATGTATGCACAATGCATAAATGAGAAAACTTCTGTTTGTTTTCACTTGTTCATCTGTCTTTTGCCAGTTTAATTTACAAGGCTGGAGAACCTAAGATAGGTAGTTTTCCACCCCTCCACACCCACTTGGGAGGGGCACTGTGTGCTCTGTGGTCGTTACTTACTGCATGTCTCCCCTGCTCTACTGCACCACAGTCCCTGCCCAGTGCCTGGCCCAGGCAAGCCTCAGTACACTTCACCACAGCAGCCATTGGGGCTGGGGCTCATCTTCCAGAAGGCAGTCTTCAGTATTCCCTTCTTTGCACCAGAGGGCTATATAAGTGTGGGCCATGTAAGCGGGGGTCATATGATGAAGTATTCTGAATATCAGTCTATTTGGGGGAACACCCATCCTGATTCTCATTAAGTTAATGGGCTATTAAGGGCAAACTAACATAGCTCCCTCCTTTTAAAGCCTCAGTGAATGAGCAAAAACGTGCCAGTGCAGAGTGGCCTCAAATTACAAAGGACAGGAGGAGGAGCCACAGCTGGCAGAAAGGATTAGTGTGAGACTGCCCAGGCCCTGAAGCATCCAGAAGGAACTAAAGACCTGCTAAGAGACTGAGAACCAGCAAGCACATAAGACTGATCATCTGTTTGGAAGCCCAGACAGGCAGCATGCTGAGGCGGAGTGAACACCTGCTTCAGAAAAGGCCGACCATATCTGGGAGATCGTTTTTTCCCAAGAAGGTTGCAACAATGTATTTATCCCATCCCACGTGCTCTTTTTACAGTGTGACTGATGCTCATCCCACTGTTTCCTCCCCTTGAACCTGGGCAAGGTCTTTTAACTGCCCAGACCAATAGGGCACAGCAGAAGTAATTCCATGTTATATCATAAAGAACATACAGCTTCAGCCTAGCTGGCTGGCTCCTCCTGTGTCTGTCTCCCTCTCTCTTTCTCTTGAGGACACCAGACTTTGCAACCCAGTAACCATGTCATGAGGAATCCCAGGCCACACAGAAAGGCCATGTATAATAGTTCTAGCTGACAGCCCCAGCTCCAGTCTTAGCAGACAGCCAACTCCCACCTTTAGACCTTTCAGATGACTCCGGGCACCACCTTCAAATCTTCCAGGTATCTCCCTACAACCCCATCTTTGTTCTGACCTATAGAAACCATGAGAGATATTTAAATAAATGAGTATTCCTTTAAGCCACTGTTCTAGGTTAGCAGATCTGCAACAAGAGATAATAATAGTACCCACAGCTTGGATGCTAGCTCAACTCCTTAGCTGCATGCCTCTCAAAAAGTCTTCCTCTTCCTGAGCCGCAGTCTTCTTCCAGATAACAGGTATGAGCACCCAACACCTTACCTGCAGGACTGTCCCAAGCCTCAGAGCAGATGACTGCAATGCCAATAGTCTGGGTTCTCTCTCAAGCTACTTTGCATGCTTTTTATTCTGCCTATTTATTTCATCCTCCCACTTTGAGAAAGTATATCCCATGGAAGCCCATCCTGTTCACTGCTCTAATCCCAGTGCCTACAGGAGTGCCTGCCACTTCAACTTTCCCAATCAAAACTTTATTAACTGATTAAAAAGATGATAAAATTAATGGGAACAGCAAAGTACCCCCAAAATGTTCCCTGTTAGTGACCAGGACAGGGAAACAAAAGGCGATTAGGGAAGATCAGATGCCCCCAAGGCCTGACAGGCAGTCTAGAACCTAGGGTACTTCCCCATCAGAAAGATCCAAAGCCTGAGAGAGGATCCTATCCTGACCCAGGCAGGGCTGCAGATGCCACGGGAGGGACTCTTTCAGAACTGCAGAGCGGTGGTCTCATTACCCGGCTGCAAATCCCCTTCTACCCGGAGCCTCTGCTGGCCCTATCATGTGACTTGTTTCCTGCATGCCTGCTGGCAAAAAATGTCTGGCTCACCCTTGGCCACAGTAGAATTTGACTCTTTGTTTGTAATTTATACCCCATCTAAGTGCAAAGAAAGTTCAAAGTGTAATTCTGGGCTTTTAAGTCCTACTCTAGCTGGTACATAGCTCCTGCTGCTGCTTCTGAAGCCAACTGTTCATTTTCCACACTGCAGGCTTACCTACTCCATAGGCTTCTTCCCCTTTCCTTGAGAATGTTCCACTGTGGGAAGAGGGGAAACTTAAATTAAGTTTAATTGGCCCAAGGTGGATAATCACAGTGGACTGGCTTTCAAGAACTAGTCTGAGATTTAACACCCCTATGCTCTGGGGGAACTTCAGGAATTGGCTTTTAAATGAGATCATGAAATGACAGGGACCTGCCTAATCCTGCAGATCTTTTGCAAAACACATGAGAATCACTTAAAAAAAAAAAAAAAACAGCACCAAAGGGAAAAAGAATTGAGCTTCAAAAAGAAGCACCTCTCCAAGAGGACACAGAGAATTATAGATGTCCCAAGTAAGTCCCTCTAACAAACACACAAGCTGGCCATTCAGTGTCTCATTTGGAGAGCAATTTTCTTCCAAGATGCTCAGAGTTCTTGAACAAAGGCTTTAGGGCTGGAAGTACTCAGGGGCCATCTTATCCAGTATCTCCTAAGCAGTCATTATTTTTTGTTACTCTTAGTTCCTAGGAAGGACAGTCCTCACACCTGTTCAGCCGCTTGCTCCAGCCCAGCCTCCCAATTTGTACTCCACAAACTGCCAGAGAATTCAGTCAACAGTAGTGACAGTGGCTGTCATTTACCCAACATACTCCACAGGCAGAGAACTATCTTGAGCAGAAGTCCTTACAACCACCCTCTGGAGGAATGTATGGCAATGATAATGACTAAGGAACTATTTGGCATGTGGTGGCAACTGACTCTGGTAGTCTGACTCCAGAGCACACACTTTTAACCACTAACATCATCACTCACTAATCTCAGCCCTAATCATCTGTTGCTCTGCCCTGAGAAACCCTCAGTGGATTAACACAAGTCTTTCCACCCCTCCACTTCGATGCTTTGTCATCAACACTGAATGTGCGCTCCCCCTTGGACTGAAGCCCACTCTGTTCACAGTAAGGGACACGGTGCTGAGTTACACTGTTCACTGGTTTATTGAGATTGGGGGAGATCCTTCCCCAAGAGAAACACCACAGTATGAAAGGAACACCACCTCCCGCCCCATAGGTCCACCTGTTCATGTCAACAGTCAAGCACCTCCTTTGGTCAGGATTCTCACCAACTACCCACCGGAAGCAGCTCCCCAAACCTGACCCCGTTTCAATAGCTCCAGAAAAACACAAAACCAAAGGCAACCCTCTTGGGAAGGATGATTTTCGGTGTGGATTAAGGGTAGTACATGAATGCAAAGGTGAGATGGGGGAAAGTTCCAGCAAAACCCAGTGTGACAGTGTGATGAGAGGGTGTGGCCCCACCAAACATGAATTGGGGAAAAGTGCATAACAGTGTGCAGGGCAGGTACATATGGCTCTGTTGGAAGAACACAATGATTTTGAGGTGCAAAGGGGGAGGGTAGTACACAAGGTACCATGAGTACACAGGGAAAGTGTGTGTATAAACCAAGGACTATCCAAGTCTGGAAGCCAGGGCTCAGCACACTAGGCAAATGGTACACCCGTGACAGCAAGAGGGGCACGTGCATCCACGAGTGAAGGGAATACACAGGAGCCTGCATGCCCACGGGAGGGTGAAGAAAACGTGGGAAGTGCATGTGCACATGAGCACGGCAGTGGGAACAAGCTGGGGAGGGAGGACCCAAGGGTGTTAGGAAGCATATGCAGCCCAGAGGGAGGGAGGACCCAAGGGTGTTAGGAAGCATGTGCAGCCCAGAGCAGAGGCAGGGGCAGTGAGTTCGCCGAGGAAGCAAAACTCAAGAGGGACAAAACTAGTGGATGTTTGGAGTGGCAGGCAGGATGGAAGGAGACTGTAACGGGGAGAGAAATAGAGAAGCCCCCGTCAAGGAGGAAAGAGCACTTGGGGGAGACCCCTGCTGGCTGCAAAGGGAGCAGCAGCGTTGTCACGGCAACAAGACGGGCATGTTGCACAGAAGGGAGAGGTGTAGGCAGTGAGGCTGCCCAGGAGCAGGTGAGGGACAGGCTTCAAGGCAGGCACAAACTAGACATGAAGTAGTGATATAAAGGTGTGGGAACGAGTAACAGGGAAAAGGGTCTACTTTTCCAGAAAAGCGTCCTGGAAAGCCAGATAACCCCAGACTCACAGCGGGGTGTGTGGATTTACAAGAGATAGATGAGGTGAGATGAGATGGGATGGGATTGGATTGGATGGGAGGGGGCCCTGCTTCCTCCCAAACCCTCCCCTCTCCCTTTCAGCCTGCCTCACACCCCCTCACTTGTAAAGTAAATGGACTCGACTCCCATCACAGCTAAGCCGGTCGGGGGGCTCAGGGGGCCCCCTAGGCAGGACCCCTGAGAGGTCTGGGGGTGTCGGAGGGTGGCGCCGCGGGCGGAGCTGCTGCCGAGACCGGAGCTGATGGCGCAGCTCAGAGACACGCTCCTCTTTCTGGAGGAAGAGAATCAATTGGGAGAAGGAAATGGGCAAGTCACAGCAGGGGTTATGGGGAGGGGTATGGAAGGGAGGAACAGCAGAGAGAAATGTGGGGAGTATATAAGGGTGGATGGACAGAAGAAATTAAGGAATTGATAAAGAACACGGGAAGCCAAGAGGGCAGAAGGGGGGAAGCCAGTGAAGGTAAGGGAAATAAAGGTGGGGGCGGAGAGTGGGAAAGGGAAGGGAAGAGAGGTCAGCACACACAGCCTCCAGTAACTCAGGCACACATCTGCACCAAAGCAGCGGTGAATGCCTGCTCCCCCACTCTGGCACTGCAGGAGCCCAACCTACAGCCTGGGTGTGTGGACACATGAGGGGCAGGGTACCTGCCCACATCCCCCTTACAGGACAGCACTCAAACATCCAGCTGCTCGGAGTGTGGCCTTCTGTCAGCTCAGGGATGCCCCCACAACCTGCCACCCACAGCCCGCAGCACCCCCTGGCCTCCAGGGCAGCTCCCACTCCAGAGCCCCCAACAGCTGCCAAGGCCAACAAGACTTTACCTTTGCTCAGCCTTCTCTTCCCTGTCGTCCTGCACTCACTCCCCACATCTGGTACTATGTCAGCAAACCTAACCTGAGACGCAGGCCTCCCAACCCCACCATCACAACCACCACCACCACCGCACACCTCAGCAATGATCTTCTCCAGCTCGCGGTTCTCCTTCTCCAGCAGCCGGGACTTCTCCTCCTCGTTGTTGTTGGTCGATGACCCTGTCTTCATGGTGTCCTGCGCCTCAGACTGCCATTCCCCTCTGGTGATCAGCCTGCGCATCTGGGGGTAATGTTTCGGGCGTGGGATGGTGGAGGGGAACTATGTCTGATTAGCTGATGGCAGGATGGTGTTGGAAGAATTGAAAATGAGAGGAACAAGCGGGGCCCAACACAAAGGGCGGGGAACAGAATCTTGGGAGGAAGGGATGAGAGGCATGGGCTAGAGAGGTGAGAGAATGCCCAGAACCTCACCTTGGGCACAAAGAGCACAACCAGAGTAATGTAGGAGGAGAAAACAATGGCCAGAGAAGCAAAGGCGAAGGCCGCATCCTGCTGGCTGGACAGGATCATAGTGACGGGGGCTGTGATGAGACACAGGACCTGGGGACAGAACATGTGTGGATCTCAGGTCTGCAGGCTCAGGTTAAGGTCTTCTTCCCCCAGGAGGGAATCCAAGAGGAAAGGTTCCTGGTGAACTTTCCAAACTCGAGATCATCCTTAACTCCAGATGGAAAAGAATACCAAATAAACTGTCCCAAACAAGTTCTTCCTCTAGGTCAATCCCTCCCAGGATCTCTATGCACACACTCAGAGTCCTCAAAAGTCACTCCCTGGGCATAACTAGCAGGAACTCAATTCAGATTCTGGCCTGTGAGTCACAAGCTAAAATTTAGCCTGTTTCTACTTCCTCATTTATATGAGGATACTAATACCCACTTCAATGGGTGGTTGTGTTAAGATGAGTTAGTGTCTGTAGTGTACTCCATCATATGTGAAGGACTTTACCAATCGAGGGCATTAGAAACTCTTTGAGGCTCCTCCCAATCACCCCAGATTTAACACCTGATTCTTCCTAGGCTGCCGCACGGGGCTGCTGTAGTCGGTCCCAGGGTCGATGCCAAGTATTCAGGGAGCTTACCGCCACATTGTAGATGGCCATGCCCACAGCCCGGTGGTCATTGATCTTCTCAGTGGACACACTCTTGGTCTCGTAGGCAAGAAAGATGCCCAGTAGCAGCAGCAGGCCCTTGTAACCATAGAAAATGCCTAGGACGGCAGGGAAGGGTCACTGGGGCAACAAGACCTCCATACTCCCATTCACTCCTGATGATCCTCTCCATGTCCTTCAACTACTGATGCTCCTTTCTACAGCTTCACAACAAAAGGAAAGCCTCATCCCCAAACCAGCCCCTGACCTAGCACATCCCTCCCTGTCCACTCTTCCCAACATCCACCCAAACTATCCACACCTCACTGCTTCCTAGGACTAGAACATTGCCACACAAGGAGATGATGGTTGTGAACAGCTTTCAGTCAGGCAAGGGAAGGGGCCACACACTGTCAGGCTCAGGAAGACAGCTTTCCAAGCCGAGGCTAGGTTTGCCATTTGTGGTCACAGATCAGAGCAATGTTAAAATGGCCAAGGGGACCTAAACCCATGCCCTCAAGCTCTGGTCTTACTTTGACCAGAGAGATGGTGCCAGGTCTGGAGATGAAGACAAGGACATCTTCACTGGTGCCTCCATTGAATTCCAGTTCTGCTTCATCTCTGCTTTAGACCCTAAGCTCCTCACAGAAACAGACCAACCCTCCCCACTCTCAGAAAACATTACAAAAGAAAATGACAAAGAGAACATTCACACTAGGTTGACATAAACCCTCTACCTCTTTTTCCAAAGACCTTTCTCCCTCCCAACCTACTCTCCTTGCCCATTATCCCTGTCCCTTTCCCCCACATCCTACAAACCAAGCCATGTATTCATCTTCTTGGAGCTGCAGTGCTCCAGCTGGGGCAGAATAGATACATCAATATCTTCCTTGGGGTCCTCCTTGGCAAAAGTCTAAGGGAGCAACAGGGCCACAGGAAAGATGGTTGTCATCCTTCCCTCTCCCCACCTCTGCTCAGTCCATGACTCCCTGACTCTTTCCTGTGAGACCCTCAATACAATGTCAAGTCCCACTGCAGGCAGGAGCATTTTCCTGAACACCTTGGAAGTGCTTTTCCCCCTTTTTCCATGATGCCCAGGAAGTCTATACATCCTTCCTAAATCCCCCTTCCCACTTCCTTTCTTCAGATGAATCCAGTGGCCTCTAATGCTGCTCCTTCTAGGAAGGAGAGTAAAATTGCTGATACGCAGAAAGCTGGAAAGCACTCTCATGGCCCGACCACCCGGGAGCCCCTCTCAGCCCTCGGACCTCAGCACCTCCTCCCAAGCGGTACCTCAATGGTCCGGTGCAAGGGGTCCATAATCTGCCAGATGGCAAGAGTGAGGACGTCCATGCCAACCAGCAGGCCCACTGTGGCATACAGCTTCCAGGGCTCCAGGGTCTGGGTAAAGAGACACAGGCATGTCGGGGGCTCCTGAAAGCTAAGGAGCTAGGGACTGAGGGATAGGAAGCACCTCACCTTCCTCCATTCCTTCTTTTCCTCCTTCTTTGTGAAGACAGTGTGAACCCACCAGATCTTGGTGAACATGGAGCCATAGCCCAGACTAAAGCCCAGACCCAGGAGCCAGAGACGGGCCTAGGAAAGGGGAGAGGTCAGGACAGAATATAGCAAGGCAGTGACCACTCACCAATGCTTACAGGCTGCAGCTTGAACACCCCCAGATGTGGCATGAGGCCCCTTCACCACAAGGTCCTACCCATCTTCCCAGGCTGTCTTCCAGGCCCTCATCTACCCCACGCTCCAGCCATGCTTAACTGCTGGCTCTCCCTTGATCTACTATCTTCTGTGTCTTGGCTAGCCCCCGAAGCAACTGTCCTTAATTTCTCCAGCTGACAAAATCGCATGCATCCTTCAATATTCAAATGCCAGCTCTTTTGAGGTCCACTCCACAGCTCTGGGAACCTCTTTCTCGTCTGCTCCCACAGCACTATGTGCAGATCGCCAACTCATGTTGTACTCCCTCTGCCACTGTATTCTGGTCCCACTCAGGACAGGGAAGCTCTAAACTTTATGCGCAAATGCTCTAAGCTTTATGTGCAAATGCCACGTGCATAGATGTATGACCAGGACAGGCAAAGGCAGAGGAAAGGGTGGGTTTCCCTTTTCCCTGTTTCTCATAAGGATAACAGAGAACCACGGAAATAGGGCTACAGAAGCCAGTCTTTCTCCACAGCCCCAAAACCTTCCACATACCAGAAGCCCCAAATGGCCTCTTCCCTGTGTAACAGTGGCCCTGCCCCCCACTCTCTCTGCTGTTGGTTCAGATCTTTGCATCTGTCCTTCCAAACCACAAATGAGGCTCCCAGGGGAAGTCCGCAGTTCTTGTTCTCAGCCCCCACATCACAGACAAGCCATCATTGTTCAAGAGCTCTTTGTGCAGACCCCCTTCCTTTGCCTTCAACACCTCCCCCTCTTCCCTGCAAAGCATGCCATGGCAACCTCAGAACTAACAAGTGAACTACAGAATGGAAAAAAGAAGTGACAGAGCCAGGCAAAGACCAGGGGGTGACACTGGAAGAAGGAACAGGGACAAGAGTTGGGGAAAACAGAAGGAAAAGCACGGAACTATAGTCACAGCAGGCACTCCTGAGGGGGTGGAGAGTCATGTTCTGCGAGTACCTGCCCACTCACCCCTCCTCACCTGGCAGACAAAGGGAAACTGGTTTCGCCCGATGTGGTAACCATCCAGCCCAAGGGGGAAGACAGCAGCTAATGCAAGTGAGCAGCCCACAGCCGTCAGATTATTCAGGTTGGGCTGTGAGTTCTGAATATAACTAGGGCAGAGGCGGGAAGCGGGGAGGGAAGAGAGTAAAATTACCCATCTTCTTCTGGGAGGCTCAGCTCTCTAAAAGCCTGACCCCACTTGGCGGTGGGAAAAGGCAGGCTTATAGCCAGCACTGCCACCTTGGAGACAAGGCCAGCTCCCTCAAGGGGCTGGCAATGGGTCTGCGGAGGGCTTCTCCTGCAGACACAGTTCAGAGTCCCGCACTGTGTTACGCGACCCCAAATGCCTTTTTGTTTCTCAGTTAGCTGCTCTGGAGCAGGGATGGGAGTTCTATCTGGTTTCCCCCTTCCATTCTCAGTAGTCACTGGGAAAACAGTCAGTCAGAGGGAAAACCTCAATGATACATGACCTCAGGAGTTACACAGGTTTTATTCTCTCTCCCTCAAGGGGCATGTCATTGTCTTGGAGAGGCAGACAGGACAAGGAAAATGTCAGCAGAGAAACTTACCGGACATGGGAGTTGTAGATGTTAAAGGACAGACAGACAATAGCTAGGACAATGCCCAGGCTGGAGAGAACCGAGACGGAGATAAAGAGTTTCTGTGACAGGAAGCGAAATGTCTTGATAACCAGGGTCTGGTCAGCTGGGGGGGCCCCTCCTGCATGGCACAGGGGAGAGTCAGGGGAGGGGAAGAAAAAGGAAGGACAAAGGAATGAAGGCGAGAAAGGAGAAAGGGAACAAAGGAATGGACACCTGTGCCTTCAGCTCTGAAAACGTGCGGCCCTAAACGCCCTGAGGAGGGGCTGTTTTGGGTTGGACACTCATTGCACTGGGGCTCTGAGGAAGCAGTCAGAAACGAGATGAGAAATGGAGATAGAGGCTGGGATATTTCACCCAAGTTGAGTTTTTGTTATTGTTTGTTGTGGTGTTTTTTTGTCTTTCTTGCCGCAAAGGAAAATGGGAGGGGAAAGAAGGGGATAGCATAGACACAAATTTTATGAGGTCTCTTGTAACTCAAATCAAAAGCTGCCAAAGACTAGAGTAGGATCATAAAGCTAAAGAGCTTCAAATGATCTAGTCAGGCCTCCTCACCTTAGGAAAAAAACAACTAATCTTTGATTTTGACCCTGGCATTGGGATATTCCCAAAGGTGTTTTCCAGTTATTATTAAGGGGAAGCTCAAATTTGCCAGAGTTCACAGGGGGGGGGGAAACAGCTAATTTTGAATTGCTTAGCTTAAAAAAAAAAGTTCATTTTAGGCCATGAAGCATTTATAGCAATAACAGAACACTGTCCTAAATTCAAATTATTAAAAGAAGTTTTTTTTCAAACCCCAGCAGTGCTGGGAACTACTAGATTTCAGTTGGATAGTGTACTTGGCTGCTGTCTTCAATGGCTGTGCCTCCCCTCCCACACCCTGCCACCCTTCATTTTTCCAATAGGTCCTTTCTTTTGCCCACACTGAGTATCTTTCCCATTTCCTATAATTTTTACCACCAAGCACACAAGGACAAGTTGCTTACTTTTTCTCTCTTTAAAGCACATTTTAGCAGAAGACAATTATATGAGGTTTTGCATCCACTCCTATAGTTCCTGACAGAGATGAAGAGTCAACTCTAGGCCTGAAGCAGCTGGTTTAGATAAATCAAGGCAACAGAACATCTGGGAAACCCAAAAGGAGTTTCCATTTCCTGCCCCCTGCCCAACCCCTGCCTCTAATACCCAGTTACCCCAGGGAGATACTATTTTTAATAGTGCACTGCCACCAATCGCCCATTCCCTCTCTGAATATACCCATCTTCCCTACCCAAGTCCTGGGGTTCTAATCCCTTTCTCTTAACCCTGGCACCCGGCCCATCTCCCTGGCACATTTCAACCTAATGGCACCTTTCAACCTAATGGCACCTACAACCCCACCCTCACTCAAATTCATTAACCCTTTTCCTTGACTGTTGAGAGGGACTGAAGGATCCACTTACCAATCCACTTATCCATTTTGGACCAGGAAAGGTCATCCTTGGTGCTATCATAGTAGCCAATCTTCTTGTAGCTGCCTCCTAGGCACATGATGATAGGGGTGACCACAGGTAGGTGGAAGGCTGCTCCTAGGCATTCCCGACTTCCCACTTCCCCAAAGCAGCTTTCCATGGCTTATCTGGTTTTACCTTCAGCTAAGCCCCTGAGGAATACTTGGAAAGACCTGAGGTCGTTTGAATCAGCATTCTGACTTAAAAGCAATAAACATGGATCCCAAGGCAACATAAATAAGAAAGACTAACGTGTGTTAAAGCCCATTGGTGAAGAAGGCTCCACGGTATGTCTGCCACCCATTCCACCGCCTCACACCTCTCACAGCAAGATGTCTCTCACTTTGATTCTGGCTTCTAAAGCTTCAAACATCTCTGCCTATTCTCTCATGATAGCACCATAGGAGCTATTTTCCCTATGGCTTTCATTTTAATTTCAGAACTTTCTCTTCTGCTGGCTTACGTTCTAACTCCTTAAATCAACTGCGTCTGCCTCTTAAAGAGCCACCAAGTGAAATCAGGCAGTCCCAAGATTTCTGTTCTAGCACTGCCCCAGTTACCATGACTTTTCCTTCAAAGGCCAATTCATACCCCTTTCGGCATGGCTGAAATGCATTCCCTCTTGCCCTGGTTACAAAGAAGATCTGAGGGGATGTGGAGGTAGGGAGAAGGAAAGAAAGAAACTTTCCACAGGAGGTCAAGAAATGGCTCTCTTGGCTGTGGCACAGAGGCTGAGGTGGTGTAGAGTTGAAAAATTAAGTCCCACAAGGTTTGCAAATAGTAAGTGTGCTAAGATACAAGAAAATGTGATCTAGAAAAGCCAAACTACACATACTACAGAAAAGTTAGGAATGCTTGTTTACACAGCAAGGAATTCAAATTAGCAAGTTTCCTAGATTCAGCTTTCCTTGAGTCCCACGGGTATGTAACTGACAAGTCACTAAGTCTCAACCCAAGACACCATGGGGAAATTTCTGAAATTAAAATGGAAGCCACTGGGAAAAGAGAGTCATTGCTTTCAGTCTGCATGCCTCCTTTCAAGAACACAACTGCAACTCAGAGAAACCTACTCATACCTCAGCTTATCATTATTATTAGTATTTAAAAGCTTGATGAACACAGTTAAAAGAGAAGGGCAGGAGATGGGGAGGCACCAAGGCAATCGTGTGATGTCTCCCGCTGTTCTGCTCCCAGGCAGTGTCCTAGCCCAGCCCCAGCCTGGCCCCCAGCCTCCCCCATCCCATACGCCTGCTCACCCTGGAGCTGCTCAATAAGTGTCCATGCCATCCGAGAGCCGCTAGCATCAAACACCACATGGCCCTGAGGGAGAGAAACATGGAGGAAGGCAAAGGGGACAAAAAAGCAAGAGCAGAGAGAGAACATCAGGGCTTTTTGAATCCTTATGTTTTTGATGTAATTGGGCTTCTGAATGAATTCTATTTATGGCATTGCCTGCATATAGGACATATCCCAGATGCCCATACCCTAGATTCTAGAAACATTATTCTTCTTTAAAAGAAGCTTCACCCTTGGGATTTGAATTGGAAAAATCCCCAGATAGAGCACCAGGAAACCTCGCTTTCTGGCTGTGTGACCGGAGCAAGTCACCAAATCTCTCTGGATGCTAATTCCCCCTGCTAGCATCCTCTGGATGCTAATTTGAGAGGAATAAGGAACTGATCTTTTAGACTGTTTCCTCTTTTAAAATTCTATAATTGTCATCTGACTCATAAATATCTGGACTAAGAAGAAATGAGGGGAGGAGGGGTTTAAAGAAACATAATACGCCAGTTTTCCTTCTAGTCCCTTGTGTTTTTCTGGTTTGCAGGTCCCTATTTCCCTGGTCTGAGACTGATTACTGCAGAGAGGTAACTGAGAGAAACAGAGAATGCATGTTTCCAGGAGAAGGAGTGATGTGTCTCTCTTTGAGAGGCCAGGGGAGTGTAAAGGAAGCTGTTCTAACTCACGGAGACACCCTCAAAGGACGAGGAGTTCATCGCCCGGTAGATCTGGTCAGTGATGGTCTGGTTGTTGTAGTTGAAATCTTCCAGGCGCACACCCGAGCGGCCGCTCCCTCCAGACGTCTTGTTCAGGGCTAATGCCAAGGCCCAGATGGCATCATAAGCCAGCGGTGCCTCCTGGAAGCCACCTGTCTCCTCAGGATGTCTTTTTAGTCGCCTGGTCAATTTCTCTACAAACTCCTGGGATGTCTGCGAAGAGAAGAATAGGAAGAAAGGATTGGAGTAGGGAGGAGTGGGATTTGGTATCTTATTCTGGCTCCAACACTTCAACCTGAATGCGTGGTTTGTGTTCACATCATCAGACTGAGCATATGTACTTTCAAAATCTTTAACTATAACCATGTGTCTGTCTTAGATTAGGAGCTACTAGACTGCAGCAGGGATTAGTGGGTCCAATGGTCTCAGTGTGTACAGCTAGTGCAGAACTACAAAGAGAGATGTTTCATGACTATAGATACTCTGCATAATGATAGCAAAGGACAGAAAGTAGAGATAGAGCAAAGCAAAAGATACAGATATTCCAGTAAAGAATTGCAACACTGATTTTCTCATTTCTCAGACTTTCTCTATAGTGTTGACCCAGGACCTAACAGCTCCTACAATCCTGAAAGATCCTAGAAAAGGTGACACCTCAGCCTCACTGCTTGTCGGCCAGGAAGACTTCTTTTAATGTGCTACCTTCTTGCCATTCTCATGTGCTTTCAGTTTACCTTCTCTTAGAGGGTTTTCAGAAGATCGAGGACTGCAGAAATACCCCTCATATTTTAAAGTCTATTAGTCAATCCCTACCCACACCCCTCCCAACCCTCAATCTTCTTTACCCAAGAAAGCTAAAAAGAATGACAGCATCCTTAACTCTGTTATGAAATAGGTCTAGAGACCTGAATTTCTACATGTGGCAGTAACCTTCTTTGGGCTAAATAACTGTAGGTAAATTGCTTACATTTTTAGAGAAGTCTTCCATGCACTGGAGGAAATCACATCTGCCATTAACTCCCAGAAACACTACCAAAAATGGTTCAGTGGCTACCTCTTGACAAGGCACAATAAAAAGGGTGCTACAAAACTGTCTAGATTTGGAATGTATTAACATATACCCACTCTACTGAAGGAATGAATAGTGGATTAGGAACTAATAAAAATCTGTTACCCACAATCTGCCCATTTTTCTTTTTACTCAACTTTCTAGAGACATGGGGGAGTGGGAAAAGCAAAGGACAGGCAGGGTGGTGCAGTGGAAAGAGCCTGGGCCTACAAGACAGACAGCTTGGGCTTCACTACGTGGAGGGTGGATCAGGTTCCATTCCTCTCTTAATCCAGCATCCAGCACTGTGCCCTGCCCATAATGGACCAACAACAAATATCCACTGGATTGGGGTAGTAAAAATACTGTGTGATACTGTAGCAATGGACACAACATTATACATTTGTCCAAACCCACAGAAGGTACAACACCAAGAGTGAGCCTTCATGTAAACTATGGACCTGGGTGATAATGATGCATCAGTGGAGGGTGATGAGTCATAAATACTCTGGTGGGGAATGCTGAGAATGGGGGAAACCATGCATGTACAGGGGCAGGAAGCATATGGAAAATCTCTATACTTTCCTCTCAATTTTGCTGTGAATTTAAACTGCTTTAAAAAAAAGTCTCTGAAAAGAATGTCCATTGGATGGGTAAGTAACACAGATGGATGGATTCCAATTCTAATTAATCCACCAATCTTCTGCATAACTTCAAACACGTTATTAAATCTCACTAGTTGTTTATTCAGCTTTAAAATGGGAATAATACTACTTACCTTGAAGAGTTTTCCGGATAAAATAAAAATATATATAGAATGCTGGGTAAAAAGTAAGTTACATTTCTTTTTGTGAATTTCCCTCTTTCACTTTCATCTTTGTCACTGATACTCAGATCTATAACCCAACTCAGTATCCCAAGTCTTATATCTCCAACATCTCTAAGGATGTTAGATGTTGTAGCTGCATGATCAATAATCTCAAATTTAAAATATCTAAGATTCAGCTCGATTTTCCTCACTCCCCAACATTTCCCAATAAGAGACTGAAGCCTCAGGATCACTTTAGACTCTCAAATTACCAAGTCCTTTTAATGTTAATAATAATAATGTTAATAATAATAGCTAACATTTATATTGTCTTTACAAATGTACTGGGCACTTCTCTAAAGTATGTATATCAATATCAATATTTAATACTGAAATAATCCAGTGAGGTTTACTGCCCATTAGAGATAAGGAAACTGTGGCACAGAAGAGTTTAACTTCCCTGAAGTCATATTGCTAGTACATGGCAGAACTGGGATTCAAACCCAGGAGACGTGGCATCCAAGTCCACACTCTTCCCAACTCCCCTACACTGCCTGCACAAACTGAAATGCATCTCTCCAAGAGTACCTGCTGGGCAAACAGCCGCTAGGCTGATGCTTTCTGAGTAGTTCTTCAACCTCCAAGGCTATCCAAATCTGTAGTTCAAGTAAATACTGCATTCGAAAATCACCCATATGGAATTGCTCTGCGTGATGCCTTCCCCGCCTAGATCCTCAGACTCTCTGCTGGCTCCAGGTCACCGCCACTAACCCGCTTGGCCACTGGGGGCGCCACTGATCCCCCTCCCCCCCTCCCACCCCACACACACACCGGCCCCAACCAGCATGACTAAAGTTACAAAATAATCTTCCCCCTTAGGTCAGGAAAGACATGCTTTAAATTTTCAAATGGAAATGTTAACTAGGCAGCTTAAAGAAAACTAAAAACCAAAAATTCCACAAGTCACAGGAATGAGCGAGTACAAATTTATGATATTAATTTTTTAACAGCCCTGCCTAGCTGTCTTTGTATGTGAGCATGGATGCTCAACCACTATCTAAAATGTGTATCCTAGGCAGTTTTTTATTTTCCATTTCATCCAGACTGAGGGGACCTGTATCCCAGGACAATCTGCTGAGAATCTTATCCCCAGGTAATGCCACCTCCCACCTGGTCCTTGAGCTACACTTCTCTCAAACCACATTAACCCTCTTTATCCTATTTGGCTCCTAACCATGCTTAAAACCAGGTTTCTCAATCTCTGCACAATTGACATCTGGAGCAGGGTAATTCTCTGTTGGTGGTAACTCTCAGGTGCACCTTAGGATGTTTGAAAGTATTTTTGGGTTACCCATTAGATATCAGTATGAGAATCAAAATTATCCCTAGATATTGCAACCTCTGGTTGAAAATAGTCCTGGTCTAATCAACAGTCCTCAAAATGTGATCCCCAAACCAGGAGCATCAACATTCCCAAGGAACTTGTTAGAAATGTAAATTCCCAGGCCCACCCTAGACCCACTGACTCAGAACTTTCAAGGGAAGAAAGAGCCTAGTAATCTGTGTATTTACTAACCTTCCAGGTGGTTCTAATAGAAGCTCAAGTTTGAGAACTACTGATCTGAAGTTGAGGCCATACTATGAGTTAAGGCAACTCTACTTCTTTTCTAAATCTCAATGGCTCTGGGTCCCCAGGTACAACCTGCTTCTGACCCACTTCTCTTGGTCCTGTTTGATTCATCTGGAATCTCTTCCTTAGTCCATTGTTAAGGCTGCTTCTACCCTCTTGAAAATCTTGGCTTCTCCACCTGGTGTTTTAGGCTATCAAGTGGGCCTGCTGTCCCTATAAGTCCTATGGCCTTAAAAAGCAGGCACCATCTTTCTCTAGAGAACAAGAGCTAGAAAAAGACCCTTCAACTCATCCTACTCCAAAGCCCAGATATCCCTTTACACTCCTAACCAAATCCATACTTCCTGTCAGGGGCTCCTTTATTTCCTACTATGGGGTAGAAACCACACATGGCAGGTCCTGGCTTGGGACACCAGCAAGGCTTTTGGCTTTTGTTACCAGCTCTTCTACCTCCCCAGGTTCCTGAGGACTCACTTCTGAGGTGCTCTGTAGGAAAACAACCTTCCAGAATTTTTCATTGCATTTTTAAACCAAGATATCTTAAACAGCGTCCCTTGGGCTGTTCAAGAATAGTGTCTGTGATCAGAGTCCATGTGGCAACTGACCCTTCCATCACAACCCACTGCCAGAATAAACTTCCTGAATCTTCTTTCTCCCTTGCTCAAAAACTGCCACCAGCAAAGGATTGTTAGCCAATCAAAGTACAAACTTTTCCGTCCAACTTCATTGTTTCCCATGGAAGGTGATGGGACAGAGTGGTTTGCAGTTAGATTCAACTAGGATTCAATTCCAGCTTCACCACTCAATACTTACATGACCTGAGACAAGTTGCTTATCCTCTCTGAATCTCTTTCCTTGTTGATAAAATGGAAATGAAAAATCTATGTCAGAGTATTGCTGTGAGGATCACTGAAATCATGCATCTAAGCTCCTGGCTTACTACACAAAAGCAACTAATACCACAAATTTGTTCTAATGAGATATTCAGGGGCTTTACAACCATTTACTCACTCAGATGTATTTCACACCTGTGCTACCCTTGGTATAACAAGCAGATACCAGTTGCCCATCAAGCCCACCCAAGATTCTTGTATTCCTTAAGACGTAACACTGAGCAAGGAAGGAGCCTCTTCCCTGTCATGCCCTACTCACTGTCCCCTCACTACAGGGCTGCCCCAGGCTTGCCAAATCAGAGATGTGTCTTTCATCTCTAGGCCTGTCACTAACCAGCTCTTGGGGATGAGTGATTTCAAAAGTATCTGAAATTCTAAAAGAGGGTCATTCAAAAAACATCAGGAGCCAAGCTAATTGAGTATCCATCAGGAGTGAATAAGCAACTCTAAAGTGCTCTGAAATCGCCGAGAAAGTAAATTGTATTTCTGCCCAGGAACAGTGCTCATGTAAAGGTGTGCTTTCGTATACAGCATCTATATCATCATTAACGCCTCTCCCTTATTTCACTTCTTGCAAACTGCTCCCTGTTTCCATGGTAACGGCCCTTTCACTCATCCGGGCCTGCAGAACATACCACTGTCTCTCTTTCCTGCTCAAGGAAGTCACAGCAGAGGTGGAAATCACAGGAAATGCAACATAAACAAGTTCTGGATGGGCTGAGGCCCTCTGCCCACCTGTACCTGCAAATGCCACACCTGCTCCCCTCCCCTGTAAGGCTCCCTAAGTTCTCTCCACCTGCCCAGGTGCTGGCTGTGCCAGCTTCTAAGTGAGCTGGCACCCACACTCTCACCATGTTGGAAATGCTGCGGGTGTTGGCAGGGTTCAGCATGACAATCTCAGTGGTGATGTGGCCTTCCACTGCCTCGGTCATCTCGTCCACTGTGCAGTTGATGGATGGGTCATAGGTCTTAAACCAATTGTCAGCATACCACCCAATGAGGAACCAGACATACTTCTTCCCGAAGAGCCGCTCCTTATACACCTGAATGCAGAGGAGAGGAGGACTGGGTCTTTGTTCATTTTCTTGTCTTACCTCACTTGACACTATCTGGCCTCCTGGGAATCAGAGAAGAGCAGAGAACTGGAAAGAAAATTCTACAAGTCTTGGGGAGCAGTAGGAAAGGCTCAACCACTCCTCCTGAGTTCCCCTGCAGCCTCTACTTCTAAATGGTCTTTTCCAGACAGTCAGGAAAGAGGGGATTCATGGATTCCTTCAGAAACACAAAGCAGCAGGAAAATGAGATCTGGACAAAGTGCCATGTGTGTGAGAAGCCAAGAGAGGGAGTCAGAGCCAACCAACGGGGGCCTCTTGTTAATCAGCTCAGATCATTTGCTATCAACGTGAGCAGAGATGCAGAGAGGAGATACCATGAGACCCCCCAAGGCAAAGAGCCCACCCAGTCCCCCTCCCTCTTCGGATTCCAACTCCACCTCACAAAACACTTTCCGGGCCTCTGTCTCATAGAAAAGTCCCACGATGATTCGGGCATCCTGGCGCTACAGAATGGAGAGAGAAACAGAGCTCCTGAGGGAGGCCTGGACATGCCAGAGAGGCCAAGCTGAGCACATCTGCAGGTTTGATTTCCTGTCCCAAAGTGCTGAGTGCAGGGTTCTATTCAATGCATAGTGGATAAATGTCAACTAGAAGATAGAGCTGAACCTCCCCAGGAGCTGCTACTGCCTCACAGAATCAAAATTATGTGACATGATAGAGGTGTTAGCTAATGCTAGAGTGGTAATCACATGGCAATATATAAATCAAATCAACACTTTGTATGCCTTAAACTGACGCAATGTTATATATCAGTTATATCTTAGTACCAAAATAACCACCTGCTCCTGCCTGGCTCTCCTCTCCAAGCCACCACCTTTCCCTACCCACCTGGTCTCTCTGCAGACTGTGCCCACCACACCCAGCCACCTCACCTTAAGGTTTTTGACAGGCACAGCTGGATCGGAGAAGAAACTCTGGCGGAAAGTAATCTCGATTCCAGCCTCCTTCACTCGTTCCTCTAAGTCATCCAGAGTCTTGGGTAGGAATGAGAAACAAATGGAAAAAACATGGGGTGCACAGTCGGGTAAAAGACCAGAGATATTATCTGAAAATTGCATGGTCAGAGCCAAGGAACAGCAGCTCTGCACCTTCTTTCAACAGCTCTGTCCCCAGGGTGGGGAGAGATCAACGGAGCACATCAGGAGTCTTAGGATGTGGCTTCTATGTGGGAAGGTACACGGTGAGCCCCTCGTGAGGCTCTGAGCCCAGAGAAGTCAGTCCATTCATCCCACTCCTACCAGACAGCGTGAATAGGGGAAAGGACAGCAGAAGGAGCAGGAGAAGGTGGGGTAGGGTCTGGTATGGACAGGATGATGCCAACCTTAAGAAGCAAGTGGGCAGACAGAAGAAGCAGAGAAGAATGCCCTGAATAACTAATAGTAGGGGCAGGATTAAAGGGCGACTGAATATAAGAGTGGATAGAGGATCCAAAGAACAGAGTAAAAGAGAGAGAGCAAACTGTCTTCTTCAGGCAGAGAGCCGGAAATTCCTCTCTTTGAATTTCCACAAAGTTCCCTCTCCCCACTTCCACCTCTCCTTGTTTGTCCCCATCACCCTGGAACCATGTGCATGAGCTTATCTGTCTGCCTCTCTCTCTCCTCTCCCACCTCCCTCTCCTTCCCCTGCCCTCTCTCCTCCCTCAGGTCCCATTCGTATACATACCCAACCCCTTGAGTGACTCTGAAATCTGCTACCTCCCTGGGCTCCTATTTCCTATTCACTCCCTCATCTTGTCTCAATTTGGAGTGAACCTACTTTAATTGAACTGGGTCATCTTGAGTCTGTCTGGGGAACAGAACATCAAAGGGGAAAAAATGTTCTAAAACCAAAAAGTTAGAGAGGATCCTGAAAACTTCATTCCTGTGACTACAGGAAGAACATGCACTTAAACCACTCGGAACATGTCTTCTTCTGACAAAGAAACACAATCTTCCCCCCAAAATGAATGCCGGGGCACATCGCTCTCCACTGAAATCTGAGCAAATGCCCCCTTGACCCCATCCCTCCTCACCGAAGTGAAGACCTCAGTGGTCTGCTGAATGGTGGCGATCTTCTTCCAGCCCCACTTCTCAAAGAGTTTCACACGGGTGGGATTGTGAAGTGTGGCTGATGGATGCGTTCGAAAGAACGTAGGGAAGCGCTGCCGGTTTGACAGGGCTGGTGAGCTGGAGCCATAGGAAAGCTAGGGGGACAGGAACAGTGCAGGCAGGGGCATGGCACTCAGAGCCCTTCCTTCAACCCTTCCCTGCCTCTGGGCATCTCTTTCCCACTCTCCAAGCCTCCCTACTTCTGTCCTAGGAAACTGGCTTCTCAAAGGCCTGCACACTCCTCACAACCCGGATGCTCTTTCACTGCTCTAACTTCAATTCCTCCTGATGAAGAATGGGGTCAGCAGCAACTCTGCCAGGCCACTGTTGCTAGGATGCCGATAGCTCAGGTCTGAAAAGAACTCTGAATCTTGGAAGCAGGTCCCTCAGTCTTCTTAAATACAAACCTGCAATATACCCTCTCTTCAGTACAGCAACAAAGGGAACGCCCCCACCTCCTCATCCCCACCCAGCCCCACGTACCACAATGAGGTTCCACATCCTGGCAGCCTCAGCCACAAGCGTGGAGACGGAGCTACAGCCAGGCATGAGGATGATCTTGATAGGGTCATTGTAGAGCAGCTCATACAGGTATTTGGTGGCCTGGCCTGGGTCACACTGAATAAGGACAGGGTAAGGATAGATTCTCCTAGTGCTCTTCGACCACCCCCGAATCCTACTTGCATATTTCTCAAAAAACCTCATTACTTCTCCAACCACCCATGGGGAAGCCCCTTTTGTCATTATTACCCTTCTTCAACTACCCCTTCTCCACCCTGACCATTATTACTTCCCCAACCCATTGCTGAACCCCTTTTGTCATTATCACCCTTTTCTTATTCTTCCTAACACCTCTTCCTGTCCAGTTTCTTATTTGTTGAGCACCCTCCTTCTGCCCCCTGGCACCTCCCCCATTTCCATCCCCCCCTGCCCCATTTCACTCTCCCCAGTCCCCTGTGCCTCCTGCCTGTGTCCCCTCAGCCCTGGCCCCCCACTGGCTTCCATTTCTTCTCTACCTCGTTGGGGCTCCAGCAGCTTCTGAAATGTCATGGTCAGCAGGAGGGAAATAGGCAGTGGGAGACGGGGCTGGCTCTTGCTCTTGCTCTTGCTCCCCACCCCGTTTCCTCTCCTCCCCTCGGCTTCCTTTCCTCTCTAGCTCTGCATTGTTTACTTTTCCATCTCTCTCTTTCAGCACCCTGTAATGCATCTGGTTTCTTCCCCACTTCCATGCCTGAGCGTTTCTTTTTCTAATGGACCCGTCAAATGTCAGGCCCCAGCAGGAGGAGAGCCAGACCCCCTAGTGGTCTTGTTGCCCTTTCTCTCTTGTTAATATTTATCAATAGCCCTGAAAAGAGAAAAGGGAGAAAAAAATGGAAGGTTGAGGGGAGAGGGAGGAATTTTCCTGATTTGGCTTTGAGGAGGCTGTCTGGGGACTTGGGGAGGGTGTATTCATATTCCTGCAGACTCTTGTCCTTGCAGATGTTTGGAGCTTAGAAACATGAGGTAAGGGGCAGGGGTGGTGGAGGGAAGGTGGGCTTGGGGCTGTCTGAGGTTGAGCTGAAAGAAGGGAAGGCGGTGTGTGCACTAATAGTGACAGCAGGCTGAGCAGGAGAGGAAATGGGAGAGTTGCCTCTCCAAGCTCCTAACAGTCCTTGTGCTCTTCTCCCCAAGCACCCTACTTTCAATCCCCACTTCTTCCACCTCTTCCCTCATACCTGCTGACCATGACATTTCAGAAGCTGCTGGAGCCCCAACGAGGTAGAGAAGAAATGGAAGCCAGTGGGGGGCCAGGGCTGAGGGGACACAGGCAGGAGGCACAGGGGACTGGGGAGAGTGAAATGGGGCAGGGGGGGATGGGAGAGCCAAGATGCAAGGAAATAAAAAAGGCCTCCTACAGCCTGCTCACTTCCCACTGAGGCCTGACATTTGGAACACTGGGAAGTTGGAGGAGGGGAAACAGGCGGGCAAATCTGAAAAACCAGCACCCATCCCTTCCCCCTGCTAAGGGCAGTGCTCCACACATTTGTTGAAGGTTCTTCATCCCCCGACCTCGGCACCTCTGTATATCTTTACTATTCTCAGGTTCCACCTTCCTGAGCCCTCCCAGCTATTACTCCAGACCTTGCCCCAGCTTCTCCCCATGTCACTCCACACTTTCTGGTCTGAAGAAAAGCTTGGTAGGAACAATGAGGATGTAAAAGAACATATAAGATATATACGTAAACACGGTAACATATGCTACCCCAATGTCTCCTCTTTTGTTTCCTCACCCTCCCCTATCTTTGCTTACAGCCCTTTCCCCCTTTCCCCCTTCCATGCCCCAGTTAACACTGCGGATTTCCTCCACCATGTGATTCTCACCCCCTCCCCAATACACTTCCTCTGCTCCCCTCCCTCTCTGCTCTCCCAAGGACCCGGATTTGCAACAGGAAAGGACACATTCCAGCTTGTCTGCTTTTCCATCTCCCCCTTGCTGCCTCTGCTCTTTCCTCCCCCATCTCCCTTCTCTCAGGTCCCCCATCTGCTCCCCAGCAACTCCAGGGAATCACCTGTCACAGTAGATGAGTTTGAGCTCATGCACAGGCTCCCCTAGCTCCCTGTGGGCCCCATAAAGCTGCATCCATCCCTCCCTGCCTCTGTCCCTATATTCCTACCGCCTCCTCAAGTCAATCACCTCCAAGTCAAGCTCTCCTAAGCTTGACCCCTCCATCAAATCTGCCCCTCTACTTCTCTTCCTACCTCTCTCATCCTAACACCTAATTCTTGCACTGAGCCCTGCTGCTCTTCCCATAGGCATCCTGGGGTTAGCTACAAAGGCTTCCGCGAGAACAGGATTTTTATTGGAAAAATGCAGATCCTTGGCAATCATCCCTGACCAAAGATTAGAATCTATATTTTTAACAAACTCCTCTGGTAACTCTTACGTACAATGAAGTTTGAGAGTCACTGTGAAAGTGTCAGAAGGGATTTGAAGTTGCCTCTCCAAGCTCCTAACAGTCCTTGTGCTCTTCTCCCCAAGCACCCTACTTTCAATCCCCACTTCTTCCACCTCTTCCCTCATACCGATTTTTAGGTATAGATCACTGGTCTAAGGAATGAATATAAAGACTCAGTCTACCTCAGGTGCAGGGGATGAGGAAATTCTCAGCTCTGTGCTTTACTTCACTCCCCACCTCATCCTTTAAGTCTTTAGGGCCACATGTCAGAGACAGTAAATCAAGTCCCAAATCTCCTCCTCCCCCTGTGCCACATTCTTCCCCATACTCCCACTTATTCATAAAAGGAATAGGGGTGGGAAAGAAATCTTATAGGACCGCCCCCCTTCTGGTCCCCAACCAAAGTTTCTTACCTTCCCCCTCTTCCTCTTCCCCACCTCCCTAATCCTACACCCAATCTCCCTTCTCACATCCTGGAGACCACAGTGCTGTAAGAAAAAGAAACTCAAGACCTAAGTTCCATTGGATGCCCCAGGATCTCACTAACCCCTCCCAGCCTTCTTGCTCCCCTCCCCCACTGCCATTCTTTCCTGTTCTTTTTCCTCCCCATACCCTGACTCCTCTCCATCCCAGGGCTAGAGTGGGGGCTTCTGCATGGACCTCTAAATTCAAATCATTTTCTCAGAGCCTCTGTCTTCCTTTCCCAATCACAATATGCCTTACAGTCACACAGTCCAGGAATCCTCAACAAGGTTGGAGATGGAGGGATGAGAAGCCAGGTAGGGCTCACAGCTACCCTGCTGTTTGTTGTGATAAACTGGAGGGCTCAAGTCCCTCAAAATTTTCCTCATTCAGTTCCTATTCCTTCCAGCTCCAACCTGCTGCCAAGATTTACCTTGTTACTATGGTAAGTGTAAACCCCTAATCCAGCTCCTTACCTCTGACATCCCCTCTATCACCCAACCCATCCCAGGGTTAGTTTACTCCCCATAGGATCAGGATCATCTTGTATCCTAATCTGTGACCGGTCTCCCCACCCCCCTGTACTTCCATGGGTTTGGGGGAGCAGAAGGGTCGGCCCAGCAGCATGACTAACAATCTTTAACTCCAAGACCCTCATTTTGAATCTCCAGCAGCTGCTACTCTCCCCAAGCTCGCACCCCCAGCCCATCTCCTGCTGGTCACACAGGGAAGGGGTCTACTTTGTAATCCCAGAAGCAACTCAGACTGAGGCAAGTGCAGCGGGTCCCCTGCTCCCACTGCCCCTCCCAGCACCCCCCCACCCCCGAGTCCCGTGTTCGAGGCTACCTTGCTGTCGTGGTGGATGAGCTTGAGCTCATAGTCCGGCAGTATGTCCCTGCGGCTATTCACGTCCTCCAGCGCCATCTCCACCGCGGGCTGGCAGGCCTGGCCCCCGGGCCAGCCCCCGCTCATGGGAAACAGCGCCCCGATGTACACTGCGCGCCGTTCTGAGGAGGGGTGCGGGGGGACCCGCGGGTGAGGCCGCGGGAGATGAGAGTGGGGAGCCCACACCAGAGCCACCCCCACCGCCATCACCACCAGAAGCGGCAGTGGCCACCCCGCCCGCGCAGAGGGGACCCCCGAACCCATTGCGAGAAGGGGGCGGAAGCAGCCGCTTGGGGAGTGGTAGCTCAGGGAGGACACTTTTCCTGGGGAGGGTTGCTGAGGGGGTGTCGAGGAGGCGCCTCCATCCCTGGTTCTGTGAGGAGGAGGCGTCTAGAGCCCCAGGTAAGCAGGCAAGGTTGGCTTCCTAAGGCCCCCAAGGCTCTGTCTCCCGCACCGTCACCGCGGACTCTCCTCGCGGACTGACCGACCGACCGAGGGGAGGAGGAGAAGAGAGAGGTAGGGCCGGGGGGCGCTTACGTCACGGGCGGCGGGCGGCGCGCGGCAGCGGTGGGGGGGCGGGGCGGGGGCTGGGGAAGGAGGGAGGGGGCGGGGCGGCAGGCGGGCGCCGCGGGGGACCCGCGGAGGGCCGGGGAGTGAGAGCGCGAGGACGCGATCGCTGGGGAGAAGGAAGGGGTCCCACCAAGGGGACACTAGGGGAGGGGAGAACAGGGAAGGGGCGTGCCGGGAGGGAACCGCGGGAGACCAAGGCGCGGAGGCCAGAGGGCGAAGGGAGGGACGAGGGTGGGATGCTAGAGAAAAAGGGCTGGCGCCCGAGTGTCGGAAATGGGGGTGTGAAGAGGTGGGGTAAAGGTCTGAGGGTTGTGAGAAAGGGGGCGAGGGAAACAGTTTGGAGAGATAGTTGGGGGCTGGGGTGTTGTAAAATGGGGCGTAGGGATAGAGGAGGGGGACCGGGGCAGGGTAGGGAGCAGATTCGTTAAGGGTGATAGGAGCTGGGATGAAAAAGAAGCAAACGGTACAGGGAAGAAAAGGACATAGGGAAGCACTGCAGGAGGGAGAGTGAGGCCTGACCGGGAGTGAGATGGGTGGGCTGGGCGGGCGGAGCCGTCAGGTGAAATCCTAGGAAGGGGGCAGACAGGAAAAGGAGCCAGAGAAGGTCGGAAAGAACGCCCCAGAGGAAGACGAGATGGAAGCTCAGGGACTCCCAGCACCCTGCCGCCCCCTGCTGGGACTCTGCCATTTGGCTGAAACAGTCTGGGAGGAGGCGGAGCCGAGGGAAGTGCAGCCAAGCAGGGAGACGGGAGGGACAGTAGCCTCGCAAAAAACCGAGACTGGAAACAGGAAACAGGTAGGGAAAGAAGGGGCGAGCTCCAAATTGGAGTGGGTGGGGGAAGGTGGGAGACAGGCGAGATCACACAGCCTAAAGGGCAGAACCCTTGAGGGTGGAGGGTGAAGAGTGAGAGGTAAGGGGTTACAGTGCGCGCAGTAAGGGTTTCTGATCTCACCTGAGTGTGGCGTTCGATTCACTGGCAGCAGGAAAGACGAGAATCAGAGAAGAGTTACCACTGGCGCCCAGCTTCCCTGGCCTGATCCCCAGCCCCCTCCCACACCTGTCCATGCCGAAGAAGACGGGGAAGAGCAGAAGCATTTCTGAGGGGAGGGTGCCTGGGGATAAGAGCAAGGTGGGGCTGTGGGTTGGTTTTCTTCTTTTATTTTTAATAGGACAACAGAATTTGAGACAGGAGTGCTAACAGCTAAGCTATGGGCAGATTACTGGTTTTGTGGAGCCTAAATATAAAATCTGGGGGTTTCTCTTTAAAAGAAAAAAATTACTAACTACAAATACAACTGGTTTTAACTTATTGCTGTTAAAATATCTTACTTTTTCAATTTTTACAAAAATCTGTGACTATGTGAACAATTGGAGCTCTCTACATTATTAGAGCACAGGAGGAGGCCTGTGTAAATGAGGAACCCTGAACTTTCTGTTGGCTTTACAGTAAATACACAGGACTCCCAATTTCCAGAATGTAATGGTAAAATGACAAGCAGAACAATAAAGTGAGGAAAGCCAGGTCTGAGGATCTTGAAAGAGGGTAGCGGAAGCATGAGGTATTCCTGCATCCCGGGAGACAAGACTGCAGAGGGAGAATCTGGGTGCCCAGAGAAAAGGGAAGTTTGCAGAACTAAATGGAAAAAAAGGTGGTGGACACAAGGCCAGTTAGTTCCCCCAGGGGAATAATGGAGGTTGTCTGGGAGTATGGGAAAGGACTGTCCTCTTCCCACTCCATTCATGCTCTGAGAGTTCTGCCCCCAATTTTGTCTTTTAAATTTTTACCCTGATAATTTTCCACCCCAGATATTCTTTCCAGTCTTACTAATTTTTCTAAATATGACATATGATTTGTTTATGAGTCTTTATAGTAATTCACTTATATAATGAATAAGGAGGATCAATTCTAGAAGAGGGTTATGCATAGAAAGTTCTAAGTTCAGAGAAAGGTATTTAGGCTGGGGAATACTAGAGTATTTAAACCTTAAGAAGGTTGATGGAAGGTAAGATTCACAAAGGAAAAGAGAAAACGTGAGACCCAAGAATTGAGAGCAGGAAGAAGATATAGAGTAAGGCAAAAGGAAGGAAGCCCCCCAATGTAGGTAAAGTGAAAACTGGGGACTGCAGCAGGAAGTGTGAGCCATGTGGATGGAGGAAAGAGTTGGGCTTTCACCTCTGCTTCCCCAAAACCCCCCACTTTGTATGGCACCCCACCCTTCTCCCATCATTTCACAAGCATCTATCAAGCAAGCTGCATGCAGGCAGCTGTTCCCCTCACCCTGGCAGTGGGGTTTGGGGGTGCTCCACTGGCCCTGAATACAGATACTCCGGGAACTGCCCACCAGATGGAACTCAGGGTCACACCGGAAATCCACCCTGGCTCTGTCCAGAGCTGGGAGGTCCCCACCCGTCAGGAAAGCCTTCCCATTTTCCAGGGTCAGATAAGACTTGGAGCAGATTCGGACTGTGGAGAGATAGCAAAATAAAGAAAGGCAAGTTGGAGAAGTCTCCTTCCCCTTGAAAAATAAGGGGCTCAGACTTGGATTTGGGTCCACAGCATCCTATTCTGCGGGAAACAGGTGTAAAAAGGATTCCCCTGGATAGCTTCCCCTCCTCCCTCAACCCTGTAAGCATCTACACATTCCCCAAATAAAAAGGAAAAAGCATTTCCATTGTAGGAACCCAAGATGGAGCTATAAGCACATAAAATGGGATCTACTCAAAGTCAGCTACAGTGGGCGGTTCTCTGGCTTTGAGATTGTGGATGTTTGTAACTTTAGACGCACAATCAAATTTGATTTCTTATTATAGTCAGCTTATATTAATGTTAAGTGGGGATTTGTTTCTTGATATATGATTTCTGCATTGCGGATAGAAATATTAGAAAATGTGATGAGGTCAGTTTAGTATGTTTTTGCATAATCCGCTAATATTCCTCAAAGAGAACAATTCACAAGATGAATAATCAAGTTATTTTATCAACGGCAGTGACGTAATGGAGAATGAAATGAAATGTGCAGGCTGCTAACTTCACTGCCTGCAACTGCACACAGCAAAGTTCTTTTTGCATAGCAGTGATCCAATAAATGTGTTTCTGAATTTAGTTACACTGGATTTAAAGCGCTGACTTGCAAGCCATAATGCTAAATTTGGCTGGAAGAGGAATGGCCTTGAAGAGGGGGGACTCCACGAGGCTACTCACCACAGCGGCTGGGTGTGTCCATATCCGTCCAGGAACCGTTTGCCAGGCACTTGCGGACCTTGGGCCCCACCACCTCGCGCTCCCCCCGGCACACATACTCAATCTCATAGTCCACAGGTAGGAAGTTGATAGCCTTCACCTGGTCGCGAGTCAGTCCCCTGTACCTGATGCCTCCTTCCCAGGGCGGGTGTATGATCTGGCAGCCTGGGAGGTAAGCCCAGTAGGCATAAAGAGAGGAATGGTGGGAAAAAAGGAAAAGGCAGGATCAGCAGGGGGAAGCAGGGGAGCGTAGGGAGTGGTCAATGGGCAGGTGGAGAACAGAGGGAAGGGGATGGGATGGGATGCTGGGAGGTGGGAGTGGGGCTGGGTACATAACCCTGGGCTAAGGACCCAAGAGTAATGAACCAGGGGTAAGGCCAGTAAGGAAGCCCACAAGTGGGGATGGAAGGAAGCTGGTTGGAGGTAATAGAGAAAAGTAATTAGGAAATTGTGAAGGGGTATGCGAGTATCTTTGGTGAGCAAATTTGAGTTGAATTCGGATGGGGGGGGGCAGTCTTATAAGACCACCTGGGCATCAATGTGGGACCAAGGAAAGGGTAAGCTGAGGTAGTAATGTGGGGCCAGGAATGAAGGTGCGGTCACCGAAAGGTGGCCTAGTGTAGTAATGTGGGGGGGAGGAAAAGGCGAGCTGGGTGACAATGTGGGGTGATAGAAAGGAGGTCAAGAGTAGTAAAGTGGGGCCGAGCAGGCGGGGTTGTCAGACCGGCTGACGGAGAGTAATAAGGACCAGGGAAGAGGGGTTTAAAGACGGGAAGTGGGGTGGAGGGTGACCGAGATCGCTGGAGAAGGGTGCACCTGCTGAAGTGGCGTTGGGGGCCTGCGCCCCGCCCGTGCCCGGGGGCCCGAAGAAGAGCGGCGCCAGCAGCACGAGCAGCATCTGAGCGAGAGGCGGCCGTGAGCGCCACCCGGCCCGCCGCCTCCCGCGCTCCGGCCCCGCGCAGCCTGCGACGCGGAGGACATCCCGCGGAGGCGGCGGGGGCGGAGCCCGGGGCTGGGTGGGGGTAGAGGAGGAGAGAGCCCGTCCCCACCCTCCTCCTGTCCCCACCCTCCTGCCTCCCTCGGCCCCCCACCCTCCCGGGACTCCACCTCTCACCGCCTCCCCGCCCGCGGCCCCTGCGGCTCGCCCGAGCCCGGCTTATCCACGCTCCCCAGGCCGGCCGCCTCGGCGCTCCCCGATTCCTTCCCCAGCCCCGGTCCCCCGCTCGGCCTCTCCCGCACGCCCTCTCCAAGCCCTGCTTCTCCGGCCCTGGCTCTTACCTCGGCGCGCCGGCCCGGCTCCCCGGCTCTCCCGGGCCTCAAGGCCCCAGGTCCGGCGGCTCTTCCCCACTCCCCCTCTTCTCTCCTCCACCTTCCCCTCCCCCCGTCCCTCCTCCTCTCGAATCCGGGCTCCAGCCCAGCCAGGGTCTCTCCCTCCTCTTTCGCTTCCCCCAAACCCCACCCCCGTCTCTCCTTCCCTGGGGCGGCGGCAGCCGCCGAAGCGGGGAGCGGGGAGGGAAGGAGGCGGCACCGGGGACCGGGGAAAGCTCCCGGGCGGAGGGAAGGAGGAGGGTGCTGGAGAAGACAGGGCGGGGGCAAGAGGGGGGAGACCGGGGAGAGGGCACCTCCCACAACCCAAGCCCCGGGAGCCTCCCCGGATCCCGGCCCCGCCCTGGACCGCCCACCGCGCCGGAGAGAGGTAGGGGCGGAGGAAACGCTGGTGCACCCGCACCCACCGGCGGGCTCCCGGGGCCGCACTGCTGGAAACCGGGCTGGCGGCAGGGGAACCCGAGCCAAAGGCAGAGGAGCTGGCGCTGAGACAGGGAATCTGGGATGCAGGTGGAGAAGACGGTTGCACCAAGAGGAGGCAGCCCTCACCCGAGTGAGAGGAGAGAGGCAGAGTGGATGGAAGAGAAAGGAGAAGCCAGGGTCCGACAGAGGAGCACGGGAGGAGGTGGGTGAAGGCCGGGAGCCGTCTAAGCGCGTCAAGAGTTGGGTATAGAAGACAGATGGGAGAGAAGAGCCGTCGCTTGGGTCCAGCCGCATTGCTATTCCTGCTCAGGCAAGGGAACAGGGAATGGGGAAGAGAGGGTTGGAAGCAAATGACTGGGAGGGGAGCATCAAGGAGAGAAACTAGAGTAGTACCGGGAAAAGGAAAGACAGGAAAAAGGCAAGAGAAAAAAGAGCCTCCAAGTGGGCAGGAACCAACATTATGCCACTCCAGCAGGGCCTAGCCATCAGTATTTCCCGACTAAGGGAGACTTGGAAGCTCTGGAGGCAGTGGGGAAAGTGAGGGCCTTCTGACAGTTCCTGAGGCTCCTGACCATTGTCTGGAAGGTGTGCATGGTGTTCATGGAGGAGAAACAGTAAGAGGGGGCTCCTTATGAGAGAGAGAAAAAAAATCTTCCTTTCTGGCTGGTGCTGGGAAAGAGGTGGGAAAACATCAAACACTGAGACTGATTGATTAGATCTGAGCTTCTCAGCCTTCAAACCTTTTTATAACGGATAAGTTTGCAATGACTGTTAATACAGTGAATTGAAATTTATAGATATAACCTAGGTACACACATAACTTTAAAAAAAATCAACATGCTTCCCTGTCAGTAACATAAGGAGAAATAAAAACAAACGTAATTAGTAAAGTAACATAAATAATATTTTAACGTGTGAGTGTTGAGGCCTGACTACACTGGGAGTATAATGAAGTTGGCAGATGCTTGCACTTCACAGAATCACAGGAATGGAACTGCTACAAATGCGGGCTGATACAGGTGCTGAGTTGGTGACTCAACTACCTCCAGCATGTTGCCATCAATGAAGTGATTTAACAAAATGTTGAACAATTCTTGGTGGCAAAGTCAATCTTCCCTAAATTTACACAGAACTGTAATTGCATTCCTAGAAAGTTCGTTGTATATTAAAACCATTTTTTAAACTGTATTAATTCTAGACTCAGATAATTAAACACAGGTTTTCACTTGCATGAATGTCCTAGGGGACATTTGAGAATCTGGATAAGGGACAGTTCTTCATTGTGCAGTCTGTGCTTTGAAGAATATCTTATTCCCCCTACCCTACCATAAATGCCAGTAGTGCCCTGGGTCTATCATTGTAATTACAAAAAAAAGCCCACAGAATTTCAAAATGTTCCCCAGGGAGTGGTTGAGAACCACTGAGCTAGAAAATGGGCAGAAGAAAAGGAAAAAAGAGTGGGACAGGATTTCTAACCACTCAAAATTATAGCCACCCCTCCTGAGTGGCCTGCTGTGTCCTCTCAGCAGGGCAGAACCAAAAAAAGTGGTTATCAACTAAAAGTCATTGACACAGGAAAAGCATTATGTGGATGAGGAGTTTCCCAGATTGCTCTGGAAAGAAAAGTTTCCTTACTGTGCCTAGTCTACAGGCTATTTCAGCTGTCTGGCCAGCAGGACACCCTCTCTCTGGACTCCTATGTGGTCCTGGCAAGGCTGAGTACCCAAAGGACACCCTCCCCAGACCCAGCAGGGCCTTACTATAGGGGAGTATCAGAGAAAGCACTCCCTCAGGGCCCTACAAACACGTTCTCAAGGTCCTCATCTACTCTTTCCTTCTGGCAGCTTATCTCTGGTTTCGCTGAAGTTCTGACTTCTTTACTATGCTGAATTGCAGGGGATGGAAATGAGAGGAATGGAAGGATGGAATCCCCTCTGGAAAAGAGGAGATGGTGATGCTGTGAAACTGAAAATTACCATGATGCTATTCATTGCCACACTGCTGATGGTAAATCAGGAAAGGAAGCCATGTTAATGTCCAAATCACAAAAGTATTGCATCTGTAAATTGGAATGTATCCACTCAAAGGAATAGTTATGAGAACATGTTTAAAAGAGTATCTAATGACATTAACATGGGAAAATACAAGTTTGGGAGAAAAAAGAATAAAAAGTTGTACAACTGTGGTTTAGGTGTGTTGAAAAATTGTAAATCTTTAAGAAAATACATGAAAATGTTAGGAGTGATTGCCTCTAGGACAATGAATTCTTGGGCACCTTTTTTATTTTATCATACTTGTTCAGTTTTGTTCAAATGCTTTACAAATGTCACCTTTATAATCATTGTTTTAATTTCCTTCCTTAAGCACACTGAAGCAGTACAGCCAATATCTGTCACTCACTTGGGCAGAAGCATTTGAGAGCGTGAACAGACAGGTATATTCACTACACAAGTGCTTACCTTCTTCCACTAATAGCTGCAGCTTCCTCCTTTTCACACCTTTTCATGCTCCAGTGTCACTTCCCAGACTCCTGGCCCTTATTCATCAGGACATTTACTGTTATCGAAGTCCTCCCCCAGCACTACTTAAGTATCCTAACCACACCATCTCCACTGTCCCCACAGCGAATCTGCTCCTTTCATTTCCTTCCACACTAAGCAAAAAACTCCTGTCTTCTGGGCAGGACCCTGGACTTCATCCCATCCTTCTTCCCTCACTCCTGTATTCTTTGTGCTTTCAGCAATACCACCTCCTTTTACAGTCTTTGACTGTCTTTCAGAGATGCTGGAGCTCCTTGATTACCAGAGTATGACCACAATCTTGTTCATTTTATTTCCCATCCTTCCACTTCCTCTCTTCTGCCCCATCTGCCCAGTCCTGAGAGAACAGAGCCCAGAACTTGACACTCCACACGCCCTGAGAACATACTAACTCCAGTAGTTCATTACTGATGATCTGCTAGATACTAGGTGCTTTCAGGGAGTATCTACTTTAATTCTCACACGGCCGTGCAAAGTAGATTTTGTCCTTATTTTGGAGCTGAGTAAACTGCAATCTAGACAAAGTAAAAATCAAATCAAAGGTCATTCAGCTATAAATACTGACAGAACCAATATTTGAACTCAAGTCTCTTGGTCCATTTTCAAATTCTTTCTAATGTCCAGATATTTAGTTTCAAAGTGCACCTCCACCCCAAAGCAGCTTTTATCAAAGGTCAAACGACTTCAGTTGTTTCCCATGTGAAGGAGTGGTCAGTGCATAAAGGGAGAATATTCATGCCTTCTAATACTGGGGTGAAAGACGTGTCTTCAGGGAGGGTTGTCTGTCCTAGACAGCTCTTGCTATTTAGGAAACCATGTGGGACAAAGTTTAAGTTTCAAACATGAAGTCTTCACATGCCAGACTTTTTAATGAGGGTTTGAACCCTCTCCACCATATTTAATATCACTAAGATTCTCCTGTTACACCGTTGCCCTCATTTTTCATTTGTATGTTCTCTACCTTGCTTGATAGGAGTAGGCAGGCCAACTCACTGAGCCAGAAGGTGGTAAGGGGATGAGGGAAAATATTTAACAAATCCTCTGGATTGCTTCCCACACACAGTTCTAGTTTGGTTGTACATTCTTGACACTCTTGGCCTTGGTTCTTTGTGCCAGGAAAAGAAAACAGGAGAATTCCAAAGCAATTTCTATTATGCCTTTACAGGGGAACCCAGTCTGAAATTCACAAAACATTAATGAAATAAAAAATCCACGTTATAAACGCCTGCTCTAGTGCCTGCCTCCCTTCCCCACAGGATGCTCCAACGTGTCTAGGGAAGTGCTGTTTCACGGGTGTTTGGAGCCAATAACTAGATTACAAAGTTAGCACTGTGAGTTGCTTCTATATTTTCTCCATAACTGAGCCCTTCTATAATGAACAATGTACTAAAATGCTAGGTTAACCTAAGCAACAAAAGTGAAAATATTTAAGCCTGGTTGCCCCTTTTTCTAGAGGGTATAAGATATCAGATTAACAGAGTTAACCTTAAAAATAAAAGTTTGTTATTTTACCAGCAAAAATGAGTTTATTTGGGAATAGCAGAGAATTACAATTCAGGACATGCAAGCTAGGGCAAAACCATAGGGAAATCCAATAAACAAAGGAGAGGAATATTATTTTATGAAGAAGAAGGAGGAAGTTAGGAAGAGTTGTTTTGAAGGAAAGTCCATTGGAGAAAACAAGAGTTCAGGGTTTAGTCTGAGTTACATCAGCTGAGTTATAGGGATAGTCAGTTTCTTGTAGGAGATTCAATATATGCCTTTCCTTGTTGGGTCTATAATTGATAAATTTTCCTGTTGACAATTCTTCCCTTGGGGTCTGTGATTGACAGTTCTTCCTGGAATTGAGGGGGAGTGGTAAGGCTTCCCCTTTTAGCCTCCTGACTCCACTTTAGTGAGGTTTCTCTTCTATTAATTTCCACAACAGATTGAGAAAAGATTCAGTTCTTATAAATTTACTGAATATTTCTAGTCCTGACACTACAAGAGAATTGGATTTTGTAGGATTTCAAAATAAATAAGTATTAGGTTTAATTAAATACATATAAGTTTATATAGGTATGAATTATTCATACCAATTTGAAAAGTA